ATATATATATATATATATATATATATATATAATATAAATATTAATATAAATACAAATATAAATATAAATATAAATGTAAATGTAACTAAACAAATATATAAATATATATATATATATATATATATATATATATTATATTAGTTTATATATATATATATATATATATATATATATATATATATTATATATATATATATATATATATATATATATATATATATAGGTGCTGTGCTTAAGAGTGCGTATTTTTGTTTGTGGTCGTCCCCAAAATCCTTACAACTTTTTGGTTTATCAAACAGCTTTTGAAAGAATGTTTTAAAAATTTTATTCTAATTCTGTGTCAGTAAAATTTTGTGTCTGATAAATGATTTTCAAGAATGGCAGTCGTTGGGATGGAGGGAATTGTACAATTTGTTCCTGTCTAAACAGCAAAGTTTACTGTCGTGAGGAAAAATGCAAATGGAAAGATCGATGTCCTCGTGGAAGAAAGCTGAAGCGAATATATGGTTCCTGTTGTCACAACTGCGAAATCAGTGAGTCTATACGAAAACTTTATTTTCTACACCGGAATAAACTTGTTGATAGTATTTTTCATCAAGTATAAACTCCACTGACCTACTTTTGAAATATTTGAGTATTGAACATAAACTATTATTACTATATCTAGGAACCACACAAACTTTGTATTTTGATTACAGGCGACGCCGCTCTTGTAAACAAGTTTTAAGGCAATCGTTCTGAAGTAATCTCAAAAAAATTTTCTTTTGCTTACTTTATTCAGATTTGTCAAGCCTTGGATTTGTCATAATGACATAGTTTTTATACAGCTTCCCAATGAGTAATCAAAATTATCAGCCCCTGCTGTATCAATATGTAAGACAAACAATTTGAAAAGGTTACTGTTACTCCCTGCGTAGTAAGTGAGATCGAAAACTATTCAGGCATCAGATGACTAGCAGAACAGATTCTTGGAATGTCTTTTTAACCAAAAACCTACTGATTAAAAAGTTCTGCTGAGCAAAAGAATCGTTTTAAATTTGATATAGTAATTCAAATCCAGGCATCTTGTGCCGGCATGAAGCTCAACTGCGAAGACTAAATTTTACCAAGGATAACTACTTTGTTTGACAATACCGGTCAATTGTTGAAACAAATAGGCTTGAAAAGACTAAAGTTTAGACGTTCTAAAACTTTTTCCATTTTATCAAATAACAAATTTGACGACTGATGATTCAAAGGACACACGAAATATACCAATTCTGCCGTAACGCGCAAAATTGCATAGGGGATTTGACTGAATAGCGACCAATTTTTGTGTACAGTGGCTACTGAAATTCAGGACAAATGATATTCTTGCCTTGCTTTTTTCAAGTTCTTATTAGAAATGTTTGTATTAGAAGCATAAGGGTATAGAAAGTGTAGTGCGAATAGACTTGAAGATGCTCAGAATTTAGTACGGAGGTTATGCGCTAAAAAAAGCTCGATCTCAACAGGTACATTTCTGATAAAAAGAATTTTTTTAGTTCTCTAAACAGAATTCTATAAAAATTATGCAATTTTGAAAAGCAATTCATCAAAGTTTTGTCAAAACAAAATTTTGAGATGGCATCAGCGCTAAAAGAAAATAAGTATAACAACTGTTGGAGAAATAGTCAAAGTAATGTAACACAAATATTGAAAACTACTTTGTGAAATGCTCCAGATTTCTAAATGTAACATATTTTTGAGAAAGCTAGAAATTGATTTATTCAGAGAAAGTCAGCAGCTATCTACAAGTTCAAAATAAGAAGAAGCAGTGTCTAAAGTATCTTTTCCTCGATCAGTAAAATCTGTTACGTCTCCCATTTCACTGAGTTTGAATTCAGCACGTTGCGTCTTTTTCAAGATCCTAAACAACGAATTTCTTGCTCATTAATAAGAAATATCGGATTTATTTTTCAAAGGCCTTAGAATGAAACATTGACTAAAAGATTCGAATTGTGAAGCTTTTCAACAGTTTCAGTGTGGCGTTAGGACAACACAAAAAAATTCTGTAATGCCGTTTTATCTGATAATTAAGGGTGTTTTTGTTAATGGATGTTACATTTCTCAGCTACATCTGGAAGTAGATATAATTTTTAATTTTCTAAACATTTGTAACAAAACACTTTTTGTATCTAATAAAACAAAAACCCTTGGCATTAACAGTTCTCCCTGAAAAGTAAGTGTTACACCAACAAGGAAGCGATCATTTCAAACTTATTTTGTCTTCTCAATAAACCCACAGTTTTTAAATCACTCCAACGATAAAAACGCTTACAAATCCCAGGTATTATTTCAGAAGAAGGCACATGTTCAGTTTTTGGCGATCCCCACTATATCACTTTCGACAGGTTAGGATACTCATTTCAAGGAAGATGCAGTTATGTGCTTAGCCAAGATTGTGTACTCAGAGGGTAAGAATAATTCTTCTGTAGAAACTCATCTAAGCACTACTATCCCTACAGTTACTTTGAGACAAAAGACGAGGAATAAAGTAGACTGGGGACACAAATGATGGCCGTTTTTCAGATTTCTTCCAGTGTTTTTAAAAAAAACCAAGTTTTTTTTTTTTTTTTTTTCTAGTTGGAAGGATGGGAAATGATACAAGCTGTCACCATATGTGGAACTTTCAAGACGCCAATAACATTCAAAACTTTATTTTTTCAAGTTCAGATATTCACAGTGACACTTCGCAGAAACATTAGTAGATTTAGACCTTCAATAAAAAGTTTAAAGTTGAAAGGCACAAGACAATAACAAAACAAAAACACTTTGTTCAATGTACAACAACCATCCAAAACGATCACAGAAAATAGATCTACAAGCACAGAACCTGGAAGAAGTAAGCGCTACTAATGTAAAATGTTTCAGAGAAATACCCGAATTCGTAATAGTTGCACAGAATGCAAAAGATGGAAGGCATCTGAAGACTCACTGTGTCACCGTATTCGTATTACTGCGAAATGGGACATTTCTTGACATTCATCTTCTACAGAATAAGGTATGAACAACGGCATCTCACAAGTGTTACGCCATTAATTACTAACAATGCCAAAAATGGAATATGCTTCAGAAAATTGATTTTTAAAGTCAGGTCAGAATCATATCAAAATTTAGAAATGAGGCAGAAGCGCATCTTCATTGCAGACAGTATGTGAGCGGAAGCGAGAACTTCCAGTACCTTATGTAAGGTATGAAGACTGGCCAGAATACCGGGTATTCGAGGACCCGCTGAACAAAAACGTCGTACTCTCTTTAAACACGTTAGGAGTCAAAGTTTCTTGGGATGGCATTTCATTCGTTGAGATTGTTCTGTCCAAGAAGCACCAATCTAATGTTAGCGCCACAAACTTCAAAGAATCTAAAACAATAAATGCACAAATCTCTGACTGTGTCTCAGTTAAGCATTTTCAGGTCTGCGGTCTTTGTGGTAATTTCAACGGCAATGCAGAAGATGACCTCCTACCTAAACACGGTTCCACAACAACATCGGTAATAAAATTTGCCAAATCCTGGCGATACGGGAACCAATGCTACGCAAGCTTAGAATCGAACAAGTGCTAGCAAAAAGTATAATTCTGCCAAACAAAGTTAAAGCTTCTACGACAAAGTTGCCTCAACTGCATCCAGATAGTGAACAAATGTCACTCTCGACTAAGTACAATTCTAGGCACACACTAGTTACCATCATCTTCTTTCAGCTTTTCTTTCATGTCACAAAGTGTAAACGAAAGAAAAGCTTAATATTTTATTTAGCGATATCAAACAGTGATAACATAGATCTGACTTCTTAAATGAAAGACAGTGAGAAAAGTAACACAAAGATAAAAATCAATTTAAATACACCTATGATGCAACAAAAAAAAAATAATAAAACAAAACAAGAACGTCTCTGAGATAAATTTTACCTCTAAACCAGTGAGCAACGGAGCAAACTCAAAAAGACAAACAACTCAACAAATAACAACTAACCGTATTTGTCTTCATAAGGATTAAGGAAGAGTTATTCTGTAGAAGCAATTTTTGCCTACGATTTAAGTCAGTCATAGATTCTTATTTGGAATTGGATGGACTGGAATTAGCCAAATTCGCCTTACAAAAACAGGTCTGACAAGAACCTTTTATAGCCTCAAAAAACCGTTAAAAAACCAATTTCTGAGCTTCCAAAACCCTATACCCCAACCAGCGAAATAACAGCAACGTATAGATAAAAAGCTATATGGAAACGCCCAACTGTAATAGATATAAGTTATACCAATAAAACTCACTCTCACAAATAGAAATCATCCCTCTCATTATTGTAATTGAGGACGTGCTCGCGTATCTTAGACTTCCTTGTCCAGGTGACCATATCTGATAAATTCCGTGAAACAAGAAATGCTGGGTCGGTCACCAGCTCTGTACCAACCCTAACGTGACCCTGTTCAACAAACTCACTAGCTTCTTTTATAAATTCTGTCATGCCCAAGCGCTGCATCATCACCTACAAAATAAAATTATGCCCTCTGAATCCATGGCAAACAAGAAACAGCAGAAATGAGACGGCAATCTGCTACCATATCTCATTAAGGCCTAAAAGACAGAAACAAATCACAGTCAACTACGAAGCGTTTGCAGTTTACAAATCTTAAAATAAATATTCTTCTACAGGCATCGCACCAACAACTTTTTTTCACTCCTTCACTTTGACGATGCGGTAATGAGCTGGTTCCATAACTACTTCAAATCAACAACCCTCTGTTTTATCAATTATTACAGAGAAACAAGTGACTGCATTACCGCGAATAAAAATTTTCAATAAAATTACAGCAATATAATGCGACATCTATTGCTGCGTTGAAAAAACAAAGAAAATTCTATTTCTCTTCAGTAAAAGAAAATATATGTAAGTGTTCAATATAAATACAATTTAGTTACTCTATAAAGACCAAGCAAAACGAGGTGTTGCTGCAAGAAGTCAGTTTCAAAAATTATAAATGACTCGTTGTAAGAAATTAAATCCCCAATCAAAATCTGTGTTAATTTTTTCACCTTAACCCTGCCGTGTTGCTTTAGAAAGAGGCACTTAGCTATCCGAGAATTTAGACATTCGGCAAACGAAGCGTCAGAAAAAAATAGACCAAATAATCACTCAAATTATAATTTTTTCTCGTCGCCTTAAAAAGGACTCAATTCTCAAAATCTGGAAAGGCTAGAGCAAACTCAGCGGGTGAACACAATTCCCAAACATCAATCAACTACAAAAAGACGAAGATACTAAAAAATGTTCAATTATTATAAATGTGTAAAATATACCTCTGAATTACAAAAAGATTACGTAAAATTATTACCGGCAACCTTCGACGGCAAAACGACGAGGCAGTCACTTTTGCCGCACGTTCCAGGGAATCTGCACTAGGTATTAACCCTAAGGCATAAAGTTTATCGAGTAGTCTTTTTACGTTCTTTCTTCTAAACGGGTCATTGAGCGGGAAATCTTTCAACGATGTTGCTATATCACGGATCTGCAAAAAAATCGTTTTCAACAGTGAACTGCCTAATCAAGCTGTTCAGGCTGCTTCTCTGCCACCGATAAAGCTACTAGTCGAAAAAGCAATTTGATGACGACCAAACAATAAAGTCTCTGAATACTAATCAACATGACTTTAATCACGTGTAATAAATTTTTTAATTTCTTAAGAATAAACAATAAAAAATTTTAGTTTCACACAATCTTCCTTTGCGCTTTAAAAAAGCTGCGCACAAAATATCTGCCTCTGCTTTTTACTTCCACATTAATAGTACCAAAAATTCGGAAAACAGCTCACTTCTGCTGCAAGTTTGTTGTACAGGGAATAATGCTCACGCTTCTTTATGTGATACCGGTGGAGGATTTTGCCTTCATGCAGATTATTGTCTATATCCCAAGTAATAAAGTCAACTTTCTTTAAGAGCTTCTTCTCCTGATATTTTAATTTACGTACCATACTTATCAAATTAATTGCTGTCGATACAGTCTAGAAAAGAAGATTAACCTGTTAAACAACAGTAATGCAAAAAACAATAAAAAATGACAGTTATGATTACCGTTGTAACAGAACAAAAGCATGGTAATATTTACTATCTGATGTTTCAGTTCTAAGACACCAAATGAACACTTAAGTACAGAACTTAATACAGTATTAAATGTAAATAAAATCAAAGAGTTATTACGAATTTTTATACGAAGAAAGAGGAAAAAATCACACCAAAACAAAAGCACATTGTAGTAAAAGCATTAATTTTTGCTCATCTTGAAAAAACAATAAATTCAAAAAAAACTTTTTCAGTGACACTTCCGTCTGAAAGAAATCATGATTTCAGCAAACACCGAGGTTTGCGAAGATTTTGAGCAGTTAAATTCTTTATGAGAAAAGAAAAACTAAACTAATGACGGGAAACAAAGAGAAGCTATAGGAAGCGTCCCAATTGTGTGTATCTCTATCCCTATCAAAATCTATTAACCCTTCACAAAGAATTTTAATCTAGTAGAATCACTTCCCATACTACGCAGATGCGCATTTGTCAAATGCTGTCTATTACGTACAGGTCATCCAAAGAAGTCTTCTTTAGTCAATCCATGACTAAATTTTCTACTTGCGTT